TGAAACAACATAATTCTTCAATTTGAGTATTCATATGTCTCTGTGTGTGTGTGTGTGTGTGTCATGTTAATCAGACTAATGACCTAAGAGGCTACTTCATTTACTCTATTTTCTAACTCAGTATCTCTCAAATGTAACCCGTTGTAGAATCGCTGCTGTCTCTTTATGAATGAATGGAATATTCATGCCAGACAATGCGGAGTGATAAATAGCAGTGGACGCTTGGACCTGGGATTTTACTATAGTGCTATAGGTTACATGCTGTGTATAGTGAGAGCGGCGGGCAAAGGTAACCTTATGTAACTGTTTGCTTTTTTCCTTTTAGCTTCTCCCAACCGCCTTTATCCTCACGTCTTTTGTTTGCCATCACGAGCCCTCTCTCCTTCGTGTCAGTTTCGGTTTATTATAAGCAAAAATAGATTGCATTAGTGCCCCCTTTTGTCAGCCATCAACGCCACTTAATCTGACACTTTTTCTTTGATGATGAATCAGCCAGGCCGAGGTTCTGGACTTCTCCATTCTTATTGTAGTAATCACACCGCCGGCAACGTCACCAAGTCTCGCCCCAATCGGCCTGACGGGGGCGCTACAGCGAGCAAAAGTACGAAATTGCTCATAACTCCTAAACCATCAGTCACAGACTCAAGTGTCTCATGTCGTTGGAATCCTTGGCTCATGCCGGTCAAAACACACCAGATTCAATTGTGAGCCTTTTCGGCTATTTCACATTTTTTGGAAAACCTACTTTTGCGAACTAGTCCTAGTCCTTTTATTATAGTAAAAGTACAGTAACCATGTTTTTTTTTTTTTTTTGGCAAATGGATTACCATTTGTATTTATTTTTACTACAAATTCCATGGACATAACGCCGTTACATGTAACTAGTTACTCCCCAACACTGCTTAGCTATCATCACCAAGTTTCAAATGTAAATTACTATTTCTCACTTTTGCCTAAGTACAAACATTTTCATTGCTATATCATGTAACTAATTTGATTTCTGCTTCTTTGTATGTTGTCCATTTCAGTTGAAACTGATTGTTTTTGGACATTTTAATTTCTGTATTTGGTTACACTGAATATTTTGCTGATACTCTTACTGATGAAGGGGGTGTTCAAATCAATAATTGTTGATTCTGTTATAATGCAATTTATTTTAATGTTTCCAAAAACAGTATAAGAGCTTTTTAGATTATCTTTTGTTGTCACCTTGACCATCTTTTTAAGTACACCATTTAAGGGCTTTTGGTTTTTAGTCACATGGTCAAGGAAGGGATAAAAGAAGATTGCAACTGTTGCTCTGGCTCTTTTCTTTGCTGTCTCTTTCTTTGCTGGGGCCCTCTTCTCGGGGCTCTGCTCTCTCTCTCCCTCTTTCTTTCTTTCTTTCTCTCTCTCAGGTAACATTTTACATACATGCTGGGTACAATTAACTGTTTGTTTTATCATCCTACATCTATTTTGTAACTAATTCATGTGTAACCATAAAGAAATACTATTATTAATCCATTTCAATTATAAATTATGCGCTAACTAGTCTTGATTCAACATTAACTTTGAAGTACTACCTATTGAAATACAATATAGTCACTCAATAGCAACGCTCTCCCACATATGTAGCTATTCTAACTGCGCTTATTTCCGTCGTTGGTATAAGTGGCAGTGGGTGGTAATAGACAAGAAATGTACAGTTGTATGCCATCGTGCTGATAACGTTTCTTTGGTCATTTGGCAATCCTACAGCCTGAACCACTGTAGGGAAACCACCCTTACAGAATCTATAAAGACAGCCTTCATGCTTTCAATGAGGAACTAGCCACAGCTAGACAGACTTTCTTCTCAAACCTTATACATTTTCAATCTGGTTTCCGACCGCATCACAGCACAGAGACAGCACTCATAAAGATAATAAATGATATTTGCTTCAATTCTGATTCTGGAAAATAATCAGCTGAACAAATACTTAAACTCAAATGGATACCTGGACAATTTTCAATCTGGTTTCCGACCGCATCACAGCACAGAGACAGCGCTCATTAAGATAATAAATGATATTCGCTTAAATTCTGATTCTGGCAAAATATCAGTGCTGGTACTACTAGATCTCAGTGCTGCGTTTGACACTGTCGATCATAACATACTACTAGAGAGCCTGGAAAACTGGGTCGGGCTTTCTGGGATGGTAATCAAATGGTTCAGGCCATACTTAGAAGGGAGAGGTTATTATGTGAGTATAGGAGAGCACAAGTCTAAGTGGACGTCCATGACATGCGGAGTCCCACAAGGCTCAATTCTTGCACCGCTCTTGTTTAGCCTGTATATGCTCCCACTAAGTCAAATAATGAGAAAGAACCAAATTGCCTATCACAGCTATGCTGATGATACCCAGATTTACCTAGCCTTATCTCCAAATGACTACAGCCCCATTGACTCCCTCTGCCAATGCATTGATGAAATTAACAGTTGGATGTGCGAGAACTTTCTTCAGTTAAACAAGGAAAAAACTAAAGTCATTGCATTTGGAAACAAAGATGAAGTTCTCAA